TGACATTACTGGGTGTAATTTTAAGATAAAATCGACATAAACTAGGATATTTCTTAAAACGTTCAAAAGGAATGTTTCTTTTAGTTTTGTAAGTAGGCAGCAGATTGCTCTCGGAGTGGAGGGTTCTTGATGACCACCCCTTCTCTGACCAATGGTAAATCGGATTCAAGCTAGGTGGAGAATAACCACCTACAGAGCATTGTAGGAATCTTAGAAATAAAAACTGGGGCTTGTACTCTATGAGGTTCCGGCAAGTACTTCCATGGGTCCTGGTGGTGTATACTCCCATAAGGTGGGCGAGTGTGCCGAAGTCTTCAGCTCGGCATATAAAGCTTAAAGAAAACACAGAAGAGCAAGGGTAAAATTTTCTGTTGGACCATAGGTTAAAAATCAAGGAATCTTGCAAACGCTTATTCAACAAGGCCATCGGGTGGAGATTAAACGGCGTGTTATATGAAACAGGTCTTGCAATATACACGTAGGAGATAAGAAAGCTGAAGAAGAGCTCATCGAAAAGGTTTCGTGAGAAAGTAGAGAACAGTCAAGAGTCCTCTATGTTCAGGCGCATCCTTGCAAAGAACCTGATTCCTTCGTTGTGTTAAGATGTCAATAGAAAGAAAAACTTTTCTAGAAATGCACGCCTCTCGGAGGGATACAAGAGGATTGAATAGCTTTTGCCGACTTTCTTTATGAACTGCACGTGTCTTGACTCGTTGAAATCATTCAAATCCTCGGGCCCAGCTGGCATCACCCCAGCGCAACTGCCACAGGCTATTAAGGTATCATGAAACTAGCTGATATCCATCTACGCGAACTTCAAAAGACAGGAATTTACCAGGACTTTAAGAAAGGTCAGAGTTACGTTCATCCCAAAAAATGTTAAAAGTTCTAACTACACGGCAAAGAATTTTAGGCTCACCCAGCTCTCCTCTTTCTCACTAAAAMGTTTGAAAGGCTGAAGAAGGATCGGCTGACACATATGGGCTTATTTTAAAAGAACATTTATCAAGAGCGCATCATGATTATTGTAAGCGACACTGTACTGCATACAATCGTGTTTATGAAATTTAGAAGGGCTTTCCAACAAATAAATTTAAGAAATTAAAGAAAAATTCTAAAATCCGAAACAATGACGCTTTAACCACTGTATTGACAACAAACGTATTCAGGAAGACTGCTCGGCATGCATTATCGTTAATTCACTTCAAAAAGAATCCCTGCACGTATGCGTAAAGAGTTTGATAAAAGGTAGATTATATTATAAGCGCCAAAAGGGATTTACTTAGATAACTAAGACCGTCAATTAGTTGTGATACCTGAAACTCCTACATATTGATCGTAAAAAGCCACATAACCACAAAGTGATTTGAACCAGTCACACATTTTTGAGGCGACTGGTTCTGATCCTTGTTCTCCAAAAGTATAAACTTAGTTTTACAAAATCTGGACAATGGAGGAGAATATGCCAGGGTGTTTTTGCCTCACCTTATTCTAAATAACTTTGACAGTTTGCGTTCGTCAAGACTTTTAGCCCTACCGCACCTACCTATATGAAGTCCTACAATTGAAGCAAGATGAATCTTGTTATGATCAAGAATTTTAGTAAGTCGCCTCTGTTCTAGTCTGGATCAGAAGAATATTTCAGGTGCAGAAGAGCTCATCATCGGTCGACGAATATCAAGCTCACGAGACGTTCATAGTTTTAGTGCTAGAACGAAAGAGGACAACGGAAATCCAATTCGTTCCCACTCTCTGGAAAACAAGGTGAGACAAAGGCATCCCTAGCTGATTCCGCAAAAGCATACACCCAAAGGAGTCTGATAGTGAAGAAAATAGATGATTTTAATAGTGAACACAGAGACGTAATGAAAATCACCACGCTGAAAAATGCTGTAATTATCAGCTGCGAGTTGTGCGAATTATACGAATTAAGAGCTGCATCACAATGATAATTAAATTTGTTGTCTTTTATCCTCTTAATAAATAATAACCTTTCAAAATCAGCGGAAGCTTGATTTTGTACCTCTAAGCTGAGACTATTAATCTCTATAATATCTATTAAATATCTTTCAAAATTTGTTCTTAAGAAGCACTCTCCTTCTTAGTCGTTTCCTATGCTACTTTGACCTCAATAGACACAATTGCTACAAGGACATGAACTCTTCTTAGTTCACCATGAAATAGAATATTCATTACGTATTTATGTAAATGTCTTTAACTCATAGAATTTACTATGTATGTGTGTAGGTATGTATTCTGACAGAGTTACAACGCGCTTATCAAATTTGGTTTGTGACACAACTCGTCAATTATGTATGAGTGTTCGGCGTGCGACCGTCAGCGTGTCAATTAGCGGCAGTAGTGGTAGTAGTGGTAGTAGTTGAGGAAAAGGAGTAAAGCACGAAAGGATAAATTATCATATCGAATGTTACGATGTGCATTAAGCAAATCACCTTTTCCTCTTCATCCTCTGAGGATTCATCCTCACTCAATTCAATGATAACTTCATTACCCTCTTCATCGATTTCGGTTTTGGTTTTCTTTTTCTTCGGTTTCGGTGGCTCGGGTGGATCGATCCACATGATGGGATGCCAAAAACGGGTGCCTAGCAATGGGGTTGGGGTGAATTCTACAGAAAATAAAAAGAAACAAAATTGATAAACCAAGAAAACCGCGTTAGTAAGTGAGTACAAAGCGAAAAGCAAAAAACCAAAAAAAAAAAAAAACAACAAGAGCAGCGACAAAAATTTTTTAAGAATATGCGTGCAAAGGTAAGAAGAAAGTGCGGAAACTCGGATGAAATATGCGTTTGATACATGCAAATGCAAGCGTATAAGCAACATGCCACTAAGTGAAGSAAATTGGGATTAAATGCATGCCATACCAAATACAAACGGTTGCATGCCACAACTGGCGACAGATTGCCAGCATACATATATAGAAGTTTGCAAAAAATGCAGTCGTTTCACACTCACCCTTCGGCGGTGGTGCCGGTTTTGGCACACGCAGCACAATGGACTTTTCYTCGCCCAACTCGAAATCAGGATCTTCCTCCATGCTGCAAAGTACAGAAGACATAATATTTCGTTTTTACTCGCACAGGAAATGGTATACGGAAACTATAACGTAACTACAAAGCACAACACAGACTACAACAACTATAATTGTAAAAAAAAAACGACTCACTTCTTCACAAGGAAATGGATTTTCTTGCCGCAAGCTGCAATTTTCTCATGCGCTTGAGTCAGTGTAAGCTCAGTAGCGTCTTCTTCGTTAATTTCTAGTATAATATCACCCAAACGGATGCCACCTTTGTCCGCTAAACCGTCTGGCGTCACCTAAAAAAATACAGACACAATAACTTTTATCAGTTCAAAGCCAGTTATGGAGAAACACGTACAAAACTGCAGTGAAATTGTTTCTGACAATAACTTTTGRTACTTTTTCTTATGCAAGTGCCAAAAGGATGATATTTATATTTTATCCACCAGCTCCCGGCGAATACGCACGTACAAGTAATGCTTTCAATGAAACGTTCAACACAGCAATGAGCACACACAATTTTTAAATGCACAATATTGAGTTCAAAAAATTTTCTTAAGCGAAATTAAAAAGTACATGCATGTATAYATACGTTTGTGCACATATGTATAATATATATTAAAAAAAAATAAAATAAACATAATGCTCATATATAATTTAAGTAAAACAGTGTGTTCTTTTGTTTGCCTCCTTTAGTTGTTCTGGCGCTTATTGCGCAGCTCGTGCGTCGCACTGACGTACGCTGAACAATATGCATAAATATTCGTATGAGTACATGTACATACATATGTATGTTAATGTAACCTACTTTCCACCGCACCATGCCCACAAYGCCCTTTTGCTTGCCAATTGACGGCTGTCGTGTGCTTCAAATTTGCCAAAWCTATGTAAACAAATAAATAAACAGTAATTTGGCCGTAATAGCGGAACTCTGGTTTGACGACTAATATTTTTTCTTTAATTTTTTTTTGTTTGGCAAGCAGCAAGAGAAGTATGAATATRTAAAATTTATTTATATTGGCAGTTATACACAAATGTATTGATTTTTAGCTCCAAGTTCTCTTTAGAATTCTGTGTAGACAATGCAGTGGAATAATTGAAAATCCCAAATCATTTATATTATATACGAGTACACTGTGTCCACCAAAGTGCATTTATCAGAAAAGCGTGTTTTTGGCAGGTCGTGGTGGCCATGTTAGGCTACGGATTTATGTCAAATTTTGACAAGGCTTACCAGTCCATATATCACGTTTCACTTTCGTGCCACGCTTAGGTATCAGTCGTGTTCTCTGAATGTTGCTRTAATAGATCTCAAGTGAGGCCCATTTTTGTCTTAGTAGCTTGGTCAACAATTGAGTCATATCCGTTTGATGTGGATAGGGCCTTACTTATGTTGAAACGAGGCCATCCAAACCATCCAAAATAACAATCTTTCATGCTGTTTAACGCTTCTACATCATTTCTCTACAGGTAAGTTAAATGAAAGATTTTCCCCAAGCAACCACTAACACACCAGAAGCTTGAAGGCAACATTCAGCGTACTAAAGCCGAAGTTCTAGTCGAAATGCTACATCGGGTCATCAAAAATTGTGTTAAATGATTGGAGGTAGCCAGCATTTTGTTCAAATCATAAATGGCATAACATTGTCATTACCTAATTTGTCGTAATTTGAGTGTTTTATGTCTTTATGACTTTATCACAACGAAGTTCCTGTTGATAGAGCCTTTATTATATAATTTATATATTGTAACCTCATTTCCTCTCGTTGTCTTCATTAGCACGTAAGAGGAAATCTACCACACCATTTTTCATGTAGTAAAAGTTTTCGCACCTGTTCAAGCGAACACCTGTTATGCATTGAGTTTTGCGGCAGGCGAGCCCACTTTTCTCATCAAGTTATACATAATTGCCAAATTACTTGAACAACGTTTACAAATCGTTCAACTTTATTACGAAAATTCAAGTTCTGTAAAGATTTTTTTTTTTTTTTTGCGCGCTTCGCTTAACTTATGGGCAACATAATCGGCCTGCTGAGCGTACCCAGAACGTAATGAAAAAAATTAAACAGCCCTATATCCATCTTCTTCAAAAAATGATACCGGTGAGAATGTAATAGTCAATGACAACCGTAAATTTGATGTCTGAATTTGAAGCTCATAACCTCTGCGGCATTTGGTTTCAACAATACGGCCCCACTTCCCACACGTCGCACCAATCAATCGATTTATTGAGAGATTCTTCGGTGAGCAGTAATTTCACGTTTTGGTCCGGTCGCTTAGCTCCCAAGATGGTGTGATATCACACCRTTAGACCGGGATATATAAAGTCTAAAGTTTATGCGTACAATCCCGCTTCGATTCAGGCCTTGGAGCAAAACATCACGTGGATCACTTGGCAATTACCAGTCGAAGTGCTCGAACGAATCACCGAAAATTGGACTCAACGGATAGACTATCTGAGATCTAGTCGCGGCCAACATTTGGAAGAGATAATCTTCGAAAAATAAATGGTTAAAAATAGTCTTTAGAACAACAATAAAAAATTTGGTTATTATCCTATCGTGCACCTAGATCGCCTCATATATAAAAAGGAGTAGAAAAATTTCGTGAACATGTATGGATTGTTAGATATACTTAAGCTTGGCTGCGTAAATGGGTGAAATCAGACTACCTGTAAAACAGATATTGAGGAAACTGTGAAAAATATCCTGTCGAACTTTCGGACTTTAAGTATTTTCAGCATACTGTAATTAAACACCAAAAGCAATAGAAATCATGCGGGTGAATTTATTTCCTTTAAACCTAGACAAAGGCAAATCTTAAAATTTTCGAAAGTAAAGAGAGAGAAAGATTTTAGATCATTAGGATTTTTAATTTTACCAACAGATTAAAAGAAGAAATGCATACTTTCATTTATTTTAAAACTAGTTCAGCGAAAAAAGTGTACAATTAATAACCATTTTAACAGGTTGAGAGAAGACTCAATTAAGGCATTGTTGAAACATTATTTTATCTAAAACACAAACAAACATTCAACAAAAAATAGCATAATAGCTAATATAAAATAAAATCCACGACTAATTTGATATCTATTGTTAAATGTTCAAMAGGGCGTATACGTAATTCTCGTTTCTTTTGTGCTTTAATTAACCGTTTATTTAGCACAACATGCAATCGAAGCGAAATAAAAACTCTAGCTGTTTTATACCAAATACATTATAAATTTAATAAAATAACATCCTTTTTATATATAGTATCTCAATATATTGCGCCTAACGGCGTAACACAGAAAAAAGCCTGGTAACTTTTTGCTACCTCATTATCGCAAATCTCTGACTAATTACCTTTTTTGCAAACTTTTGCAGTGACAAAAAAGTTTTTGTGTTTGCCTCGACACTTTTATGCTCATTTATCTCATTTCATCTCATAATGAATGACTTAGGGCAAGTGCTTGGCCAACTCACTAACAAGCATATAAAAATACATATAAATGCAGAAAACATAAATTATGTTTTATATATACATAAACATATTATTATGAATATTATTACTCTAGCTAACACCCTTTAGGGAAATATGTTAATGAAAGTGTTCGTCTTCATTATTAAAGCTTGTGGTTGACAATTCTCATTATAAAATTAGAGTTGAAGTAGACTTATAATTTTCCTCATAAAATAGAATGATTTCTGTATATAAAATATGTTTTCCAATAAAAAAAAAAGTAAGTATTTCTATTTACATGAAATCACCAACCTATTAGGGGTTTCACTTTTTGGCATTTCTTGACCGATTCATACAAAGATAGAACCTGTCAATTGACCATCTTGGTTATGTAAGTTTAAAAATTAAGCCAGCTTAGGGTTTAAAAACAAATTGAAAAATTGTTTTCAAATAAAGTATACTTTAATACCATACAAAAGTAATCAGTTGATAGAATTCCGGACACAAGTAATTTTTCTTGTAGATTTGAGTGTAAGGGTCAGTCAACTTGAGCGTAAAATATTCAAAGCGTTTTTATCAAAATTGCATTTCTTATATTGAGTGACGATGGAACTCTATTGCTACCGCATATATCCAATTATATAGTAAACTACAAACAATTCCCTTCTAATTATTACAATTTTAAACAATAATCCCTAATGTTTTTGAWAAAAAAAATTTAAYATTTCATACCAGTCTGCAAATTTTTGAATATTTAATATTTTTGGACAAAAACTAMAATTCCTATGTAGATTRAGACCACWTTTTGAGGAYGATTGACATAGCAGCTRGCCCAGTAGCCGTCAATTCAAAKTAATAATGRGTGACCCATTTCGAGGTTCCCTAACTTTTTAAAGAAAAAACACAGAGACTTCAAACTGAATAGGTAATATTTAATACCAGCCGAAAGAGCATCCTTTGTATCTTATTTCTTGAAGATTTCTCAAAAC